CAACAGTCATGGACATCAACAGTCATGGATATCAACAGTCATGGACATCAACAGTCATGGACATTAACAGTGATGGATATCAACAGTCATGAACATCAACAGTGATGGATATCAACAGTCATGGATATCAACAGTCATGGACATCAACAGTCATGGACATTAACAATGATGGATATCAACAGTCATGGACATTAACAGTGATAAATATCAACAGTGATGGATATCAACAGTCATGGATATCAACAGTCATGGACATCAACAGTCATGGACATTAACAATGATGGATATCAACAGTCATGGACATTAACAGTGATAAATATCAACAGTGATGGATATCAACAGTGATGGATATCAACAGTCATGGATATCAACAGTCATGGACATCAACAGTCATGGACATCAACAGTCATGGATATCAGGCCTACATTAAAAACTCCAAGCAGCTTAACCCCCAGAAATGCTAGGCGCTTGTTTGGAGATTCAAGATTCAAGAATTTTGTCACATACCTTATTGCATTCGTAGACCAGCAGTGACATTAAATTGCTGAACACCACTTATATATAAGTAAAGATAAAGAGATACAGGACTGAGCATAGCAGAACTGAAAAAGAGTTGCGATACATCGGAAGACATGGAAAGCACTGATCCATAGAGTGACTGAGAGTCGTACTCGACTGAATGGATGATGATGATGAAAGATAAAAAAAATTAGTGAATATTTGAGAAATTAAAGTGCAGTAGAGTTACTAATAATGCTACAACCAGCTATTTCTGCTTTAAACCTGCAGACCAGTTTCCAGACCCAGTCCACGTGCAATCAGTAGTTCAAAACTGAACATATCTTATCTTAAGCAGACTTAAGGCCATTTAAAATCCTCCAGTAACATAGGAGACCATCCATCCATCCATTGTCTGAAACCACTCATCCTATTCAGGGTTGCGGACACCCTATCCTATCCTAGAGGCTACGGGCGCAAGGCAGGGAACGACGCAGGACGAGTGCCAACCCATCACAGGGCAACATAGGAGACCAAAAGACTAAAATATGAGCAAACCGTTTTTTAGTAACACATTAACAAAGCAGAGCTTCTGATCAGCCACTAGGTGGTGCCAGCGTCGTTGAATTATATTTGCTGCAACTGACTACAGAAATGTTCATGGCAGCTGAAGGGGAGGCTCACGGCCTCCAGCCTAAGGGTTGTGAGTTTGACTCTGACTCTCGTGTCACATTTTCCTGCGAGACCCCAAAGACATGCGGCTCAGTTGGACTGACGTCCCAAACTGTCTGTGTGTGTGTGTGTGTGTGTGTGTGTGCGCTTCCTGACAGACCAGAATCGTGCCCGGGGGGCCACACCTTGTGTTTCCTGGAATAGGCTGTAGGTACATTTTGATCATAAACTGAATAACACCCATTCAATCCTCTTCTAATCACATATCTTGGTCAGGCTTAGATTGGGGCCTGGAGCCTATCCTGCGGCTTGGGCTACGTTCACACTACCAGGCTGAAGTGACACAAATCTGATTTTTTGCCTGAAGGTGACTCAGATCTGATGTTTTAAGGCCTGTGTGGTGACTCAAATCCGATCTCTTCAAATCAGATTTGAGTCACTTTCATATGTGGTCTTAGTTTGGATACATTTCTGATACATGGTCATGTGACATGAACTAGAATGCTCAGATCGGAATCCACGTTGTTTTGCCTGTACACATGCACTGAGCATTTCTTTGTTGCCGGTGATGCAGATATCATGCAAAAAACGTGTCGATGTGCGCATACATTTACATTACAGTTGCACGTCACTTGTAATTATGGTAACACTACTTGAGGGGGCACAAATACTTAGTAATGACACTGTTACTACTGAAGTACAAATCATGAACAAATATAGTCGCTATTTGAGATAAAAGATTTGTCGATTCATTAATGATGAACAAACATATCAGTATTTCACTTGCATTATTCATTACTTGTTCCTTCAGTAGTTCACAAAGGTTTACAGAATTAACAGATATACTAACAAATACAGTAACTGCTTGCGATGAAAGATGCATCATGATTCATTAATGATGAACAAATATGAGATCAGTATTTAATTTGCCTTATTTGTGACTTGTTCCTTCAGTAGTTCACAAAGGTTTACATAATTAGATATAGTAACAAATATAGTAACTGCTTGAAATGAAACAAGCATCACGATTCATTAATGATGAATTAACATGTGATCAGTATGTAACTATGACTTCATTCATGGTTCATTAGTACATAAGTAGTAGCATAATACTATATTATTTGTGCCCTGTCAAGTAAAGTGTTACTGTACTTTTGAATGTGAAACATCAAAATAGGCAAATCTGATATGAGCAAAAAACTGAAATTGGACAATGAGGCTGGCAATGTGAATACAGCCATAGTGTACAAGGCTGAAGTACACCCTGGATGGAATGCTGGTCCATCACATACACATCACATACACATTCACACTCACACTCACTCGATGGGCAGTTTAGAGACACACCAGTTAGGTTCTGGGGGTGAGGAAAACCAAAGGAATGAAATTCCCACAGGAAATCTGAGTGTCACATGGAGAACGAGCAAACTGTACATTCGCTGACCCCTGGTGCTGGAGAGGTGCGGCTACCCAATGAGCTTAGGTGCATTAATGTACTGGTGCACCAGCAGTGATGAGTCAGAAAGCGTGGAGTCGCTAATGGGCAGTCTGTGTAGTGACCTCCAGGGATTCTGGTTTCCTCTCCTGAAGTGTAAAGACATCCGATCGTGTTAACTGGTATCTCTAAACCACCCGTAGTGCATGATTGCTTGTGCAGAGTGATGAAGTCCCTTTGGTATATTTTACGGAATCAATTGGTTGGTCACTGATGATGAAATACAGCTCTATCCATTAATCATCTCCTGCCATCGACCTAGAAACACGCCGAGATAGATGGGTGGGTTGGGGAGGAAAGACCAGCCCACCGGGTAAATCTCCGAAACGGCAAGGCCTGTGTTGCGCTGTGGGCCAGCCGTGGTGAGTACCTGCTGGGAGGGGTTGGGGGAATCCACGAACCACCAACAGGGTGTTGGGCGGTCAGAACTGGTCAATACGGGATGTGAATGAAGGCTCTCCCGTCTGGTGTGAAGCAACGGAACAGCTACTGCGGCACAAATGGTTACAGAACTATTGTGTGACGTCACAGAGGCCATGAAGCTGAGCTGCAGTCACAAAGTTCTGGCTCATCCCTGTCTGTAGTATCTAAGCTGCAGTGCCATCACAGGGCGTCGCACCCCTGCTTAATTCTCCCTTTAACTAACAATCATAAATATTCCCGAATACCAATCACCAACACAATGAGAACATATAAAACGAGATACGATGTTTAATCAGCTGGGTAAGGGTTAGAAGAATAAAATTCCATGTGACTGCTTAGCTTAACGGTAAACATCCCACATCCCCCTCAAAGAGCTTAGGCACCTCCAGCACACCAAGCTTCCCATTGCATGTGTACATGAGAACGGCAAAGAAACATTTCTCTGTATTGCAGGAGACAGAATAAAACTACACACAGACACATATGAGAGATCTGTCGCATTTTTAATCTTATCTTACTGTAATTTAAACATGAGGGCTGGCAGAGGGGCGAACGTCGGCACACATTCAGTGGAACCATTACATCAAGACTCTTCTGAATAAATATTTACAGCAGACAACGTCCTCAGCTTGATAATGCAATAGGGCTGCAATCCTCTCCTCTATTCTCCACGGACAGCCACGGCAAGACGGCATTTGCAACAAAATCCAGCAGAGCTGAAGTGGCCGCTGTGGTGAATATCACGCACTTCACATGTCCTGCTGGAAACAGACGGGCAAACATTGTTCATTTACACATTTACGATAGTTAACCTCGAATCCGCGTAGCGCAATCACAGGCAAAGTCTTCATAACCACAGATACCAGCTAAAAAGTAGACAGATTATGTCCACTGAACACTCAGAAGCCCATCTGGGGGGAAAAGTACGTTCTTACAAGGTGCAAAATGTTTCTCTATCACAGGCCAATCGCCTGCAGCTATTAGACTGGGAGATCAGCTGAGGAAATGGTTTTGACTCCACTCTGCATAGTGCACCAGAGACACACCCACAAATCCGGCTGTCCGATCTAGCGGTATCGTCACCGGACACCAGGGGTCAGTATTAATGGGGCCTTCAGGAATACCATTCTGAACTGGATACCCACCACGGCGTGGTTTCCGTAGCGACAATCTGTTTTTCTTACAGGGAACGAGAACACGGATGTTACGGCGGCCCCGCTGCAGCTCATTTCATTTGGGGGAGAAGCTTCTGGTCTGGCTGATATGGAGCAAACGTGGGAGTGAGGAAGGTCCTCCAGCCAGCCATGCGAGTTACGCTGCAGTCCACCTGCAAAAGAGCCCCCCCCTGGATACTGCAAACCGGCACCCCCCTTAGCTATTAAAAAAAAATACACGTGCCAACTTGCTGAGGAGGGAGACGGAGATGCTGCTCGCAAACTCACCGCTGCCACAAACGCTGTCGCAAACCTCAGCTGACATTAAGAAATAAGGGTCTGTACAGAGTAATAGCCAGTGTTGAGCAGTCCAGGTCCAGAAGCAACAAATCCACACCAACATTTTGTTTCTACCATCCAGATGAGTGCTCTGTGACTCTTCATGCTCTGGCTGGTAGAAACAAAATCTTGGTCTGGATTTGTAGCTTCTGGTCCGGATATGTCCAACACTGGTAATGGCACACAGCAGTCTGGGTCCCGATGAGATTTAGAAAAACCCCAGTGCGGTCCTCACCCTGGCAAAAAGATTCCAACACTGAAATCTCCAGTAGTAATGCAGTACGGTTATTACACCCAACTGATTGTTATTAATGTAGCGTCATGCTAGTTCTTAAGAACAGCAGATAAATCTTAATTCTCTTATGCAACAGAAGGCAGTAATGCACTGCGATGTCAATGTGCTAGAATCATTAAAGAAAAGTTCAGAACCATTTTTGACATTGTGCAGGCTGCCAGAAGAATGGCTTTAAAATCAGTGTGCAGACATACCATAGGACGGACCCACTGGCCTCTGGGTGGCGCTATGTCAATGTTGACACAGGCTTCATTCACCCCGCACGATTAGCGAATATCTTCCAACATGAAAAACGTACGATCTGCGTAAAAGTTTAAAAGCTTGCAGAAAGGATAAAGGAAGGAAGCCCATTGAGATGGTGCAGAGCAGAGAACACATCTTTTATTTACTGTGCTGGTCAATAACAGCAGAGACTGCAGGGTGAGACGTGGGGGGGGCAGACCGGGCCATCTTTAAGGCAACACAAACAGCATGCAGACAGCCACAGAAACAACATCTCCTACATCATATTGCTTTAAAGATTGCTTAACATGAAAAATGTACCAAAAAAGAACAAAAATAGGTTTCTGCACTAATGAAAAATACATTTTTTGCCTTTTTTTTTTCCTACAAAGAAGGTTCTAATACAAGAAAATAAATATTGCAAAAAAGCAAAAAAAAAATAATTTAAAATAGCTCTTAATATATATCTTCAATAGTTCTCTTTGCTATTAACAAATGGCACAACATTCTTTGAAACAAAGAATACCGACAGGGGGGAAAAAAAACCCTGTAACATTCAACATATCGTATCAATATACGAGGCAAAGCAGAAATGTTTCAGGAACTGTACATGTCAAGAAAAACAAGAACGACAGTAAGGGACAAACAACAGCAATATTCAGCTAGGGGCTGAATCCGGACCACCCAAGAACCTTTCTGACAGAACATTTATCACTGACGTTGTTCCATATTGCCCAGTAACCATACAGACTCTAAACGTGAGACTAAGGAATGAATATAACAGGATATTTTGAGGAGCGTCGAGGGTGATCAGCTATTCACAATGAGTTCTTGGTTAGGAAACCTCAGAATTTAACACGTTCTTTACTTGTGTAGCAGTAAAAACTTCACATCAAGTTGTATTTGGCACAAAAAAAAAGCCATCCATCCATCCATCCATCAATACCCACTTCTCCTATGCAGGGTTATGGAGGTCCAGAGGTTATCCTGAAAAAACCCAGGACAGGACGCCAACTCAACCCATCGCAGGGCCCTCTCACACGGATCATTTCTCGACTCCAATTCACCTTAGATTATTTTCGCACTGTGGGGTAAAATGGCTCGAACCCGGGTGCCAGAGGTATGGGGTAACAGTGCTAACACAGCACCACCCTGACACACCAGGAAAAAAAAAACCAAAACAAAAGGGCTAAATTAATACAGACATGACAAAAGCCACTTTTCCAGGCACTTAAGTGCTTGTAACTTATGACGGTGGGGATGCTGGACTTCAGCTGAAGATTGTTTGTTTCCAGTTGAGACCCAGCAATCTGATTTTCAGAGCATGGAAAAAAAAATGGATTGACCTCATGGTCAAAAGCGTCAACAGCTGCACAACATGTGCTCTGCTAAACACCAGAAATGAAAATTCCCTCCCTACAAATCGCCCGTCTGTGAATAACACACACCACAGCATGGGGGCAGGGAGCAGTGGTAAGGACACACACCCGGCGTATCCGAGGGGGAATGGCCGTGCCGAGAGGGTGTGGCATTTTCCTGGGGTAGGAGAGAAGTCTCTAAAACATATGGATATCATTATTTGTCCTGGTACTTTGTTTCCTTGATCCCTCTGTGCAAAAAAAAAAACAAGGGCAGGCTCCAGATGAACACATAAGTATAAAGAAGCAACTTCTGGTAATATTTTTTCATAATTTTTCCCCCATCCTTTTCATTAAATTAAAGACGCTAGACTGTAATATGTAGATGTACACTACAAGCTATTAGAGTATTGTGCAGCATTATAGTATAGCTACTGGAACACAAGCACATAAAAAGGCTTGCAAAGCCCAATACAAAAATGTAAGCAGAGAGAGGAAAAAGAAAATGTTCTTTATGTGCTGTATCATAGCGAGCCGGTGCGTACGAAGCCAGGGATTAGCAGGCTGCTGCAGCCATAACTCGGTCCCTAGCGGATTAAGCAGTAGAAGAGATCGTTTCGAGATTAACGAAGTAAAGCGTACACTGCCGTGAAAAGGAGAACGGCCAGCTATTAGACACTATGAAAAACCGACATACCTTCATCCTTCCCAGCATTATCAGCACATGAGCAACACTGCGACCCTTGACCAGTGTTTCGGAGGCTGGGACCCTAACCCCAGCCACTGGAAGGCTTGTCACCACTTGCCGCTTGGACTCGTTGGCAGCCAGTGCCGTCACAGGGGGACACTAACACACGCAGACGTGTCATTCCTGTAGCAACGTCTTAGTCTTTTGAAGACAGCAGCTGCGTCACACTTGTCCAAGGGCACCTCGTGCTACTACAGCACGGGAAGGTTTTTACACGTCTATTCAAATAAAATTAATGGTGCAAAAAAAAAAGGCATCAGAACAGGGTAATCGCCACTATGGCAAAACCCACTGCAAGCCGCAGCTCTGCTCCCACCCACCCACTCGAGAAATAAATCACTTGACTCAAACCCCTTCGCCAAACAGAGGGTTTAAGCGGCTGTTGGAGGTTCAGCGGGTTTCCTGGTGACTGCCAAGACTGCCCCACCCACCCAGCGTCAGGTCCTGCTTGTAACCCCTCAGGACGGACATCCTCGCACGGCTCTTTGGCATGGAGGTACTGACACAGAGCTTCCGAGCCGCGTGCGGCGTTCACATGCCACAGAACACATGTACTTGGTTTATTCCCTCACCAATCAGATCTCACTTTGTTCTTAAACCCTGAGACAGTACTGTGGACCACAATATGAAAATAAAAAAACTAAACAAAAAAAAAAATTTGCTTCAAAACAAACAAAATGTTTTTTTAAAAAAAAAAAAAAACAGAACAACAAATGTTCAGGGATGATCACATGACTACACAGGGCAGTTCTGACACGGAATGTTTCACCCTCATGGTTCCATCTCTTTTTCACACGGGAAACAGCAGGCTTGGCCTCCATCAAGCTGAGACATGCAGCCGTCTGCAGCCCGATTTCGGGGCAGAAGAATCCGAGTTAGGTGCTACTATGGCCCAGCCGGCCTCTACGGCTCTTGCGATCTTCTCTCCATTTGCTGCCGCCAGGAAATGCTATAAAATATCTTTCTTGGTCAATTTCCTCTCAGGTGTCAGAGTTCTATTGAATTTCAGCGCGAATTCAATCAGTAAGATTGACGTAGAAAACACTTTTGGGACAAACGGAAGGCACATTTTATCACATTTATTCAGTGTCTGTTTTGTAAAGAGAAAAGCAATAATCCGTAATGATGAAGAGAAGATCAAATGTCTGACAGAATAAGCTCACTTACGTCATTAAGGGGGTCTATCAAAACAGTGCATGTGATTATGAACATTTACAATCAGTCAGCAGAATTTCTCCTGGTAAAGCAGTATTTGCATGTAACTAATGTTACTCATCCCTGTTGACCAAATTGTGCTTTTTAGTTTTTTTTTATTTTTAATGTTCTTTGCAAAATGTCATTTTTCTATTTCTGATTACATTTTCCATTAAAAAGCAAACAGAGAAAAAAAAATAGGTCTTGAATATGAAGAATGCCAGCTCTTAATGCCCACGGTCCTGCGGGCTGTCGCATTCAGCTATAGGAGGGTGCCCTCCGCAGACTGACTTTCTTTAAGGTGATGTTTTTGCCAAAACTCAGACCTGAAAAAGCACGCCAAAGCTGAGAGAACCGTGCTTCAACTCCGGTGAACCACTGGTGTCCCGTCTCGAGCAGCGTTGGCGGCCACAGGCTAACATCTGTGTAGCACAGGCTAACGTCTACGTAAAAAGTCCCATTTTGGATTCGGAAAAAACGATTTGGTATGAAAAAGTGAGTCGGAGGAGATGCACATGCTGACAAAAAAGCGACTCGGCAGGTGACTCCATCCTCGCGACCGGCGGTCCGTGATTCTGCGTGACTTAGGAGGCCAACACACTCCTCTGGACCACGTCCGTCTTCCCAGAATGCAGCTGGGAGAACTGGAGCTTGCTGTGGCCCAAGCGAACATCAGAGCTCCTCAGTTCCGCATGCGAGTAGTACCCATCCATCTCGGGGTCCAGGAGAGAGCCGTCCTTCGGGCCGGGACCACTCACCCCTCCCAGCTCCAAGCCGGCTGCTCGGGACCGGCCCTGTCTAGGCGGACGTGCCCGCACCACCGCTCCGCCCGCTTCCCCGGAGGAGGCTGCCCCGACGGGCCGCCACTTATCCGAGATGTGGCAGGAGTCCATTTTTGAGTCGGGGGCCTGAGGGGAAGGCTCGGGAGCCGCGTGGGAGGGGCTGAAGGAGTGGCTGGGCGGGGCCTTGTGGGCGGCACGCAGCCTATCGGCTTTGCGCGCCTCGGCCTGGCCCAGCTCCCTGCCTTTGTGGCCTTTGCCGCGAGGCTTGGCTCTGGCCTGGCAGCCCAGCTGGGGGACTTTCCAGGCAGGCTTCACAGAAGGCTCCTTCATGAAGCTAAGGAGGCTCTCCTCTCCCTGCAGCAGCTGGTCCGACAGCAGGCTGGCCGTCCTGTCCCGGGGCTCCCCATCCAGAGACCACTGGCCCAGCATGTTGTCTGTCGTGATCTGCATGGACTGCGCCAACCAGCCGTTGAAAAGGGCACCGTCCAGCGGGCAGGGCTTGGACAAACCTAGAAGTCAGAGACGCAAAGGAAAACTGATCACGTTAAGTCGACACCGGTTTAAATCCAAGACAAGCTTTGCTTGACCTCATGATACAAAATAAGATAATTAAAAAACCGAGTAAATGTTACTAATCAGACTTAAAAATGGCAAGAGAAAGTAACAGCAGAAAGGATGCTGAGGAGTGTATAACTGTTATCATTGTTTATATAAAAAATGGAAGCGGTGACCTAAGGGAAAAGGAGATGCCAAGACATACAAAACCCTGCCGACAGCCCTAAAATCGCACACGACACTGCATGCTGCACATTGTTGTGTTAATAAGACCTGTCCCTCACCGCTACATAACCGCAAACGACTTTTAGACAGTGATATTTTAAAGTGCTAATGCACGAGTCTGTGCTTGGGGAGAACTGCTCTTCAGCAGGTGTCAGAGAGCTTGCGGAAAAGACATCCGTAAAGGTGAGTCAGGCGGCGGAGTATCTGCTCAGAGATGTAGACCACCTTAAAACCTGAGTAGCTCTTTGGTATACCCTCCCCATGCAGAGAACGTTTCAGAGTCGAGGGCGTTACACGTAAAGCAGGAGCAGAAGGGAGGTTTCTGAGAGGACACAGGAGCCATGGTGCTTCCCGCTACGACTGGGGGCACAGTGGCATAAGCCAGGATTGCTTCCCCTTCATCGCAAGCTGGGCGGTTTGTCCGAAAGGTGTCGAACATCTCCCTGGCAACGAGGCTTAACGAAGATGAGCCGGACTTTGGCGTCGGGCTCCCTGGACGCAGACCACAGGCACTGGTCAGGAGCCGAATGAAAAGAGCCGAGCCGAAGGGCATCCTGCCACACTCCCAGCACTTGGACCAGGTGGGAGTGACAGACGTCCACCCAGATCCCCAAGGTCAGCTTACTGACCCCCCACATCCCAGTGATTTGGAGGCAGTCATCGACTGCCGACAACCCAGGAGAAGAGCAGATGGCTTTAGCCGGGACTGGGGCGACTAACCAGCGAGAACGAAGTAGACTTAAATGGGGGGGGGGGGTCTTGGTGTATCACCTCTCAGCTGGCTGACCGCAACAACCCATGCCCCCAGGCCAAAACAGCCCGTGCCGTTCCAGCTGCCCACGGACACTCAGGTACAAAATCACAGCTGCGGCTGAAAGACAGCCTTCCCGTCTAATTAGCCTTCACGCCATCATCGGCAGCAGCGGCGACACGTTCGCACAGCATGTTACGGTGAGTCCTCAGTCGCTCATCGTGCGAGAGCTCTAATTGGACAGCCCTAGTGTGCCAGTGTCACCGAGGGAGAATGTCGGGCGTACGCTTCAGGCCCAAACGCCGTCACCGCCGAGATGAGTGTCGGTGTGTGGCTTGGTGCATGATGAACACGATGAAACAAATGTTAGGAAAACTGGACGTAAACTGTGTTAAGGAGCTCTATTTACCTACGACATCATGCTCCAAGTAGAAGGCACTGTGCCCATTAGCTGGAAATGTGCACAGACCTTTCGGGACAATAGTTTTCTTTTGTTTTTAAGCAACAGTGCAATGATCCTGGTAAGAAATCACCTGCCGCAAGCACCTAAGCTGTAAAAACAGATGATGTAGAAGCCCTTCCTTTCTCTTGTTCTGCCTAGGCTGTGTGTGGTGTGGGAGGGGCCTACAGTTTGTGAGGAGCCTATGTTATGGGAGGAGCCTAGTGTGTGGGAGGAGCCTACAGTGTAGGAGGAGCCTATGTTGTGGGAGGGGCCTGGTGTGTGGGAGGAGCCTACAGTGTAGGAGGAGCCTATGTTATGGGAGGAGCCTACAGTGTAGGAGGAGCCTATGTTATGGGAGGGGCCTAGTGTGTGGGAGGAGCCTACAGTGTAGGAGGAGCCTACAGTGTGGGAGGAGCCATCTTTTCCCTCACGCTGGCAGATCAACACTAGGCTCTTTGAAGCAACACGGGCGACACCGTCCCAGAGGACCAGATGCAGCGATACTGGATACCTCGTGCACTTCAGAGCAGCTCGCTTACAGATGCGCCTCAGCGGCTGATTTTATCTTAGGAGCAGACGAGGGCTCACCCAGGCCCCCGAGGAGCTTCCCCCTTTCGGTTTTCCACCTCTCCTTCTTTGGCGGACTGCTTTTCTGGCGCTCCTTCCCTCGCTCTTTCACTCCATTCCGTTTCATCTTCTGCCTCTTCAGTGTTTTTTCTGCAACAGGGAGATGGCAGCTCAGGCGAAACAGAGCGCCTTCCATCTAAACCGGCTTCACGTCAGACCACGAGATTACGCCGAGCAGGACGGAAGGCAGAACAGACTCCAGGCTGTAGACTGGATATGTGCGGCTTGTCTGACTCAACGCTGAGCCAAGAAAGGCACGATGAACATGATGAAACAAAGATGTTAGGAAAGCAGGATGTAAACTGTGTTAAGGAGCTCTATGACATCATGCTCCGAGTAGAATGCACCGTGCCCATTAACTGGAATGTGCACAGACCTTTCTGGACCATCGGTGTGATGGCCCTGGTAAGGAACCATCTGCCCCAAGTACCTAAGCTATGAAAACAGATAATGTGGAAACCCATCCGTTCTCCTGTTCTACCCAGACTCAGGTGGCTGTGTAAAGTAGTGGAGGGGCCCCTAGTGAGGGAGGGGCCCCTAGTGAGGGAGGGGCCCCTAGTGAGGGAGGGGCCCGTGCAGCCATCTTTAAAGCACACTAAACCCTCCCGTCCACAATCTAGCATATCCATGTAGCTCTGCTCCGCCTCACGTTTTTTGCGACAAACACTTTCCAAAAAGGCACTACTTGCAGTTCCCAGCCTTCCCTCATTATGTCCAAGTGCTTAATCCCAAATCCCATGACATATGTACCAGTGAGCCACCAACAGCAGCAAAACATCTACAGAACGCAGCATAGCCACACCGATCCAAGGCCTTAAAGAAGAATAAAACAACTATATATCCAAAGCCGCACAATCACGGACCCCTCACGGTTCCTGTCACACCCACATATGGACATCCTGATTTTGCCAAGTTCGTGCCCCTGGGTCAATACGGGAGGGTCTTGCGTTTCACTTCTTTAACCAATCACAGTCTTCATCATGTGACATCACAAAAGCCATACACAATAAAACAGGTACTTCAGAAATCTGTGCACCTTGCCACTTAATAGAAAACATTAGTTTTAATTAATGCGGTGATGTCATACATTGAAGACTGTGACTGGTTAAAGAAATGAAACGCAAGCCCCTCCCTTACTGACAGAGGGACACGTGGCAAAACCAAGAGGGGCCCCTACATGTGATCATGCGTCTTTGGGTCAGCCCACAACAGTAAAGCTTATGAGGGTGTCCATATTTAGTGAGCTCATAGACAAGCTCTTATGACCTCACAGGAGACAGGACTCTGGTTATGGGGTCATCGCTGGCATCACCAGAGGTCAACCCGGTCACTATGAAAGTCAAGCACCTGCGAACACGAACGGCACTGTGCCACTCAGGAAACTTCCAGCCTTAGTCCACCGTCTGGCTATGTGAGGCATCTGGTAGTGGGATGTTTTATCGAGAATGTGACACCAATGCTGGCTTTGGTTAATCGGAAAAGCTGAGCAATGATCATAAAATTTTATATCTGGGATGTTAATAAATCAACCTGCCATCTATTTAAAATATCCAGTAATGTTTAATGAAGGATGATAAACTTCCTGCCTAATTGGAATAAATCAGCCAAGGTACAAGCGGACCAGGCGGAGGGGGAGGGGGGGCGGGTAGGGGGGAGCAGGCAATCAATCAGAACCACGTTAAGCAATAGTAGCACGTATTTATTTGAATACGCCATTGGTAGAGAGACCATTCCTCAACAGGGGTTCTGCCGCAGGTCAACAGCCCAAACAGAACCTGTTATTTGCCAGGCTGGGCATTAAGTTCTGGGTTTGATGCCCCACCTCCCCAGTAAAGGCAGCGTGGAACCTCCCCCCCCCCCCACCCCAGCCAAGCCAAAGGCAGACCCTGGCTGAGCTAACAGGCTCTCGAAGCAATGGGCTGGGGGTTCTGATACGAGTGTGAGGACTCCAGCCTTACAGAGCTCTGTCTGTTACTTTTCAGAGCCACGGCTCAGTAGCAGAGTCTGTGAAGACAGCGGACTCATCGAGGTTGGCTGATCTGACCCCCAGAGGGACTTCTGCTGTCACGCTTCACACGTGCACACCGTCTCACTGACCTCCTGCCAGGTCGTCGTCAGCGAGCTGGATCTGCAGCTGAAGGATCCTCTCCTGCAAGTCGAAGAGGGAGCGCTTCATCCTCTCCCGGCGGGTCACCATGTAGCACAGATTTCGCACCTGTCCGCGGGCATGCAGGGAGACAGGTTACACCTCAGGGTGACAGCTGTCACACTGGCAGACAGACAAGCGTGCACGCGCACGCACACGCACACGCACAAGCGCACGCACACGCACACAGGTGCTGCAGGAGCCAAATGCAGTTTATCTAACATCATGAAAGCGACCTCACTTCTGCTTCCGTTCATGTAGACAGTCATTAAAACATGATGGCTGCCAAAGCATCATTAAAATCTGCCCTTTGACTGACATTTTAACATTTATCGTGCAGACTTACCCTTGTGTCTGTGCCCGTGTGTGTGTGTGAGAGGCCCTTTCCATTCCACTGTGGCTTTGCCAAACCACGCTAGTCCCTTTGGAGTCCCTCTGAAGAACATGAGGTTCATCGATGGCAGCTGGTGACCGACATCAAATCTATAACTGCTCACCCAGCCAGATCACTACTCCATACCCCTTTAATAAAAGCAAACCCTGACGCCACGATTGGTCTGTTAGAGCACATCGGGAGGAGCCTCAATTAGTCAACTAAGCTTCGAAGAGAGGAGCCTGCCTCCTGGATGACAGCGCCAACCTTCCCCTCGACCAAGTGGCTCACGAGGCTCCTGCTACACTAAACATATATCTGCTGATCTAACAACCACCCAATGACAAGGAGCCTCCTGGCCACCCAAATGACAAGGACCCTCCCAAATGACAAGGAGCCGCTCGAATGACAGGGAGCCTCCCAAATGACAAGGAGCCGTCCAAATGACACGGAGCCTCCCAGCCGCCCGAATGACAAGGAACCGCCCGAACGACAAGGAGCTTCCCGGCCGCCCGAATGACAGGGAGCCTCCCAAATGACAAGGAGCCGCTCGAATGACAAGGAACCGCCCAAATGACAAGGAGCCGCCCAAATGACACGGAGCCTCCCAGCCGCCCGAATGACAAGGAACCGCCCGAATGACAAGGAGCCTCCCGGCCGCCCGAATGACAGGGAGCCTCCCGACTGCCCAAATGACAAGGAGCCGCCCGAATGACAAGGAGCCGCCCAAATGACAGGGAGCCGCCCAAATGACAGGGAGCCGCCCGAATGACAAGGAGCCTCCCGGCCGCCCGAATGACAAGGAGCCGCCCGAATGACAGGGAGCCTCCCGAATGACAGGGAGCCGGCCAAATGACAAGGAGCCTC